GTGTGCTTGCCAGAAAGACAGAGAGAGACAGAGAGCTCGAAAGCGAGAAATCACCCCCCTCAAGGGGATGGCCACGCCTCAATCCCTTCTCCTCCATTCTCCTCTCAGGATCTTGTCCACACATGCACATGCGCCTGGCTTGAGTTTAAGCCACCAGGTCCGGGACTCGAACCATGGTCAACTACATGGGAGTGCAGCGACATAGCCATTACACCAACTGTTGGTCCCCCACTTTTTTTTTTTTTTAATTTGCCAGAGGGTGCACATATGCTTGCTAGACAGAAAATGAAGAAAAGTGAGAATGCATCCCCCAATGGGGGATGGTCACGCCATAATCCTTTCTTCATCTCTCCTCTTTTTTCAAGATTTTGGGAATGTCAGTTTATATGCCCAGCATGTTTCTTTCTTTTTTTTTTCCTTTTTTTTTAATGAGAGATTTTTGCTATAGGGGGTATATGCTTGTCAGAGAGACAGAGACAGAAAGAGAGAAATTACTCCCTGGGCAGGATGGACATGCCACAATTCCCTCTCCTCCATTTCCCTCTTGAATTTTGGACATGCACACATACACATCTGGCATGAGTTTCAAGCTTCTGGGTCTGGGACCTGAACCACAGTTTACCACATGTGAGTCCAGCGATGTACCCATTACATCATCTGCTGGTTCCCATGTCCAGCATGTTTCTTAAACCACTGGGTCTGGACTCAACCACAGAGTTGACCATGTGGGATCCAGCCACCTAAACCACCATGCCATTGGCTGGCCCATTATTTTACATTTTTAACAATTATTTGATTATGTTAACACAGTCATGCAATGAGATATAAACATTTACAAGTTGAATTTCTTCAGAACCTAAAACTATACCAGTATAAAAATCAGAAGAACATTCTAGGCTAGCTGCATGGCTGGCTGGGTAAGGCAGCCGGCCTTCCCCCAGCCAATACCATGGTTGGTCCCAGAACTAGCAGCCTGAGAAACTCTTCAGGCACATGTGCTTGCATGACGAAATGGAAAGAAGACATTGCAATGTGACCACCTACCCTCCCCCCCAGGGGGGTAATACTTTCTCCATCTCTGTCTCTCTCCATCTCTGTCTCTGGTGAGCACACATATCCTCTGGCAATTAGCAAAAAAAAAAAAAGAGGCTGCTAGCTCACTGAAACATCACTATCAAAGCTCATTTTAAGTTTTTTGATCCTTTTTAAAAATTATTTATTTAATTTAATTTATTTATTTATTAAATTTGACTAAAGAGAGAGAGCAGAAGAAAGTGAGAAAGCAAGCTGCCAGATCTGGGACTCAAACTGCAGTCATCCACATGGGAGTCCAGCACTTTAACCACCATGCTACCTGTGAGACCCAAGTTTTTTTTTTTTTGGGGGGAGAGGTTTTTGCCATAGGGCGCGTGTGCTCGCCAGACAGACAGAGAGAGACAGAAAGCGAGAAATCACCCCCCAGGGGGGATGGCCATGCCGCAATCCCTTCTCCTCCAGTCTCCTCTCGGGATCTTGGGCACGAACGCAAACAAGCCCGGCGTGAGTTTTAAGCCACCGGGTCCAGGACGCAAACCGCAGTCAACTATGTGGGAGTCCAGCGACATAGTCATTATGCTAACTGCTGGTCCCGAGACCCAAGTTTTTTGACCCTTTCTACAAGCTCTTGAACACATTATCTGCTTTATCTACACAACACCAGCAGATTAAGACAAGGGACACTTAAAAACCTCTCTGGGCCTCCACCTTCCACATCTGCAAAAAGAAGTGAATAACAATACCTACCTGAAAAAGGTCTCATGAGAATTTAAGGAGTTAATATTTGTAGACTATCTAAGAGTCTGTGGCAACACAAAAGAAACATTTGCAAAATACATTGCAGAAGTAAAAATAAACTATCCTTCCAATTTCCAAGTGGGTAAATGGTCTGCATATTTCCCACAAAATATTTTGCCTAACAGTCTTACCAACAGTCCTTGCAGTTAGGGAGAAAACTGTTCCAAGAAATTATAATTCTTAAACTCATCAAACTCAAAAGGACTTAGGATAAATGGAAGGGAAAAACATTACCTCATGAATTTGTCTAACACATCCTCTACCCACATGTGCATTCGGAGGGACTGAAATCCATAGCGCCAGACTAGTTTAATCATATTAATTATAAACCAGTTGCTCTCCTCAAACACCAGAGTCTCTCCATTATACACCCCCAACAAGCCACCAGAGGCCTCAACGGTAGAGAGACCTGCAAAAACAGAAAAAGAGTAGCTAAGTCAGTGTTTCTATACTGATTGGATGAAGAAGGTAATCTGAAGCTCCCAGGGACACTCTGGGGTGAGTGAATTTGGGGTTCTCCCAATTCTCAGGACAAGCATTCAAGGAGCTGTATCTTTTCCTTTTTTTTTTTTTTTTTTTTTCTTGGAGAGGTTTTTGCTATAGGGCACGTGCACTTGCCAGAAAGACAGTGAGACAGAAAGTGAGAACTCATCCCCCAGGGGAGGATGGACACTCACAATCCTTTCTCCTCCATTATCCTCTCGGGATCTTGGGCACGCAGGTACACGCGCCCAGTGTGAGTTTAAGCCCCTGGGTCCAGGACTTGAACCGCAGTCGACTACATGGGAGTCCAGAGACATAGCCATTACGCCAACTGCTGGTCCCAAGGAGCTCTGTCTTTAGAACAGTGACACACTACTCACTCACTACACTGTTTTAAAGCAGTCTCTGGAAGATGGATCAGAGGACATACAGCATGCAGATATAGCAAAACTTGACTGGCCACTTTTAGTCTAAAGAGGTTAGAAAGTCAAAGGATAAAACCAGAATACCAACTGAATTCCATTTAAAAATAAAAATGTCAGGCAAGAATCTTTGTCATATGAATAGCTCCTGGTAAACAGCTGCCCTCACGGAGGAAATGAAGGTACAGGACATAGGGCATGGGGAAGGCAGCTGAGGGACTCCCAATCCCATTCAGATCCTATTTTGCATAACTGAATATTTCAGATAAGTGGTTGGAAGGCAAAATTACACAATATTCCGGGAAGAAAGCCAGGGGCCTGCCAAATTCCCCCATAACCTGTCTCGCTCCTCTGCTGGTAGGGCGGTAGTCAGTAGACTTAGGTTCTGAGCACGTGTCTACACCCATATCCATGTGAGTGACTTTAAGGCAGACATTGAAGTGAGTCTCATTTCCTCGGCTGTAAAATGAGTATACCGAGGCTTCTGCTAGCTGAAAGCATTCTGATTCTTCCACACAAACCCAGAAGTTTAAGAATTGACATCAGCAGTTATCCCCACCCCCACCTAAAGCTGTAATTCCAGTTAACTGAAGATGTAGATAACTAGTGTCCTATTACAGAAGAGGAGCTCCTAACTAAGCCAGTACCAACCACTAACAGGAAACAAAGGAAAACAGTTGTACCAACTTCTCTGTAAAACTAGTAAGGCAGAAAAGTTTCGGTTCTCCATCTGATAAAAAATATATATATATATATCCAGGAATGATCACACTGAAATCTGCTGAGCTCTAAGACCAAACATGACGTACCCAGGTCTTTGACAAAACGCTTCATGTGCAGATTTAAGGGATGGATGACAGAACCTCCTGCCTCATAGTCTTGTCCCTGCACAGCCATGGTGGCCAGACGCCCTCCCACCTCTTCTCTTTCAAACAGGTCAATCTTCACATCTTTCCCAAATTTCTGCCGCAGATAATAAGCTGCTGAAGTGCCACCAATTCCTGCTCCAATAATTGCTGTGAAGAGAAAAGGGAACAACGTTTTCCCTCTTACCAGCCACATGGGTTTGGTTTTGTCTTTCGAAAGGCCAACTAATAACAAAGGTTACTCAAGGCCATTTCAACATTTTAGGGAAGAGGGTGGGCAAATGACATCTAAGAAGGCAGATGCCCCCGAGATTTTGCCTGCCTCCAGACAACAGCAGTAGATTAATTTATAAACTGGCATCGATTTAATTTTATTCTTGTCATATGGCCAAAGATTCTCACAGGTCTTTGTAGAGGCACTGTGGGGCCTCCTGCATACCCTTTGTAGAGGCACTGTGGGACCTCCTGCATACCCTTCCTGGTGCCCATTCATGGAAACAGAAGAGGTGAGCCATTCCAGCACGCCTTTTATATAAAGTGACCGCCATTTTTGGCTAGCTTTGTTCTGTCTCAATGAAGACAGGTTACTAATTCCGAGAAACACAGTTTGGGGGGCAGGAGGTGCCCGGGGTAAAAACAACAAGGCACCTAAGAACAGAAAAATAGAAGAGTCTTTCCGCAGCTGCATTCATCCTAGGCAAAAAAAAAAAAAAACTAACTTGCCAGCCAGGGGCCCCTGAGAGCAGGCCGACCTCAGCAAAGCGGAGATGGGGGAAGGGGTTTCCAGCCTATCGAGGGAAGCAGACAGGGTATGCCTGTTTGGACTGCTCCTGTGCTGTGTCTGCATGCCCCTGCACGCTGCACAGCCAGACCGGCAGAGGCTCCAGCACCAGCCAGAGGACTGGCTTCCCAGACGAGCAGCAAAGGGAAAGCGACAAGTGGGGCCTGGGCTCCTCTAGAGCCCTAGGTGTCCAGGACAGGGTTGCAGGTTCCTTTGCGCCAGCCTGCCCGCCCACCAACCCGCCCAGGTGGTCATCCACGCCCATTCTTAAAGTGGGCACCTCTGTTCGCCCGGAAAACCACAACCCCATGGGACGAAACGCTGCCCTATGATGTGAATGGGGAAAGGCGCGATCGGGCAGCGGGTTCAGCCAGCAAACGCCTGCCCTGCGTCGCGGCTGCAGGGCCCGGGCGCACTGC